CACCAGAAACAAATCAATCATACTTCTCTCATTCTTTCGTTCTCTAGTATACATATGGATTTTCTTGTGATTAAACATAGTGTTTGTCACAAGAAGACCCTTTTTCTTGCACACCGCCAGTATAAGCTTGCCAGCATCATTAACCCTTTTATCGCCAAACTTGCCAAGTACCGACTCGTACCCTGGTCGAGCGGTACCAACCCATCCATTCAAATCACCACATACAACAATTCTTTCGTTTCCCCTAGCCAAATCTAGAACTTCTCTTACATTCTCCCAAAACTCCTCCAGCTCAGCCCTGGACGACGAAGCTACCGGCGCATAAACAGCCAAAAGGAATAACTTCGTCAGTCCCAATTTAAAGCGAACCCAGAGAAGTCTTGAGTTCACAACCTTATATTCAGTCATAACATCGACCAACCGAGAAGACAGCAGCACCCCCACTCCCTGGCAGGCGTTCTCGCTCTCCGGGACTCCTGACCATAGAGCTAACGCCCCGCCAGGGAGCTCTTCAGTACCACTGCCCTTCCGTTTGGTCTCCGACATACACACAACATCTAATTCTCTTTCTTTCATTATTTCGATCAACTCATTCGTCTTATCTCTCAGGCCTCCTCTAACATTCCACGTGCCAACTCTGCACTCTGTCCTCCACCTTCCGCCGTGTCGGGCTGTGCGTGACGGGTGGCGGTCCCCATCGCCGCTTTGCACGCTGCATTCCACACCAACGGGGACGAGCTGGTGTGCGTCGCCTTGGGGGGACGCCCTAACCCTCGTTGGCATGGGTGCGCAGCTAGTAGAATTGCAGCCCTGAAAAGGGCTGGCAGGGGTCGCGACGAGCACGCTTCTACAATGACCCCCTCTTCCTGTTGCATATATATATTATCTGCTCATTCCCGGTATCCATGGGTATTCAGACGATAGCACAGTTTTTGAGAGATACCAACCAAGTTCCCGGGCCAGTCATCCGAAAAAAAGGCTATGGGGCGTGTGAATCTCACACTACAGGCAGTCTCCGAATGGGGCGATGCCAATCTCGTGAGATTCAACGCAACCAAAATATAATCGTGTCTTCTCACCACTAAAAGGAGCTCACCCTGGGTCCTACTTTCCGAAATGTATCCTTGGAATACAGTGGCCACTTTCAGTTGTTAGGAATTGAATTTTCTGCAATTCTCAACTTTGGGTGGTTTCATTGAGTCCAGAGCCAAAGTAGCAGCATGGAAACTCGATTTCTTTGCAAGAGTGCGGCGGTACTTTACGCCGGAGCAGTTTCTTACCTTATATAAAACGTAAGTCCGGTAATGCATGGAGTGCTACTGTCACGTATGGGCTGGTGCTGCAAAATACCACCTGGCAGCGTTGGACTCAGTGGAGAGACGTGGTAAGAGGCTCATTGTTGACCTTAATTTGGTTGAAACCAATCTTGTCAGCCTCGAGCACAGGCACAGAGTAGCCAGTCTCTCGGTATTCTGTAGGATCCATTTCGGTTAGTGGGCGCAGGAATTACACGCTTTAATTCCTCCTTCTCTTTTCAACCATCGCATTCCCTTTATTGTCGATATTTCACCGATTACAAACAGACGGTTTGCTTCGTCTTTTGTAATGCGTACAGCAAAGGAGTGGAATAATTAGCCGGCGTCTATCTTTCCGCCCGAATATAATCTGGGCATCTTCAAGGCAAGAGGGAATATGCTTTTGTTACGCTAAGACAGTGTGATTCACCATCTAAGGCTGCATCGTCACCTACCACCAGGTGTAAATTGTAGTCAATCACTGGCTGATAAAAAGTATAAAAAAATTGTATATATTTGATCCTCTCACCATTACATTTTTATCGCTTGCCATTGGAAAGAATAAAAAAAATCAAGTCAAGTTTATTGGTTTCCTTACTTGCTACTTGCAACGCTTTATATTATATATGAAAAAGCTACATACATATATATATATATATATATATATATATATATATATATATATATATATATATATATATATATATATATATATATATATATATATATATATATATATACATATATAACTAATCAGGCACTAGTTTCTCACATTGTCATAACAGAATGGAGTATGCCGCACAATGCTTAGCATATCGTGCCAAACCTAAATTTATAGCATAAAACATTCAGGATTATCTGTAGAAGCCCTGGTGACAAGTTGTAAAATAATTGTTCCCCACAATTAAAAAAAATATTGTGAATTGATAATATTCACCCCAATTTTGAGTTACAGTTGTTAAATGCGACTTATTTGTGTTTGTAAAATAAAGTAAAAGTCATAAGTATTATAATTAAATAATGTTTAGTATATCAACTAAAAGTGACAGCTGTAACGGACATCGTTTAAACTCTTTGTAAGTTTAATTATTGTTATCCCTTTAATACTCTAAGATTTACTTTTTAAGTAAGCGTTGTTTCCGATTTCATCTCGAATTAATTATTTACCTAATAACTTAATTTTAGAGCTGTAAATAGACCCATAGGTCAAAATATTTGCTTACTCTGCTTTTTCGGTTTTATTTTTTAGTTTTCTTTTGCCATTTACACATAATAGTAAAATGAATACACGCAACGCCAAAACGCGCCAAATTGAGAACAAACTTCAAATGCCGCCTCAAGAACTTAAGGCGTCAAAGGAGCAGTGTGAGCTGTTACTTTTTTGTATAGGATAAGGGGGACAAACGTGCACACAGTCCACCTGATGGTAAGTGGTTGCTGTGACCCATAGACATCTACATCTATCTTCGATTAAGAATCAAAATGCAGATGCGTTGTCACCCGTGAGGACTAAGATGGAATGCCTCATTTCCAGTAAAAAGGGTCTCCAGTTCTTCACACTCACCAAACGAAACACAGCAGCGTTAAGCTGCTATTTTACGCTGGTATTCTGTGAGAGCGTGGTCCTTCCCCAGTCGTGCCGACCCATTCTTGACTCATACTTGAAGAAAAGTATGACAATGAAAAGAAAATAATAAATATAATTGCCAAAAATAGTCAGCTAAAAAGTGATATGGTTTAGTTTGTTTAGTACAAATATTTTAAAAGAAAGGGATCAGCTTCTCGGAACAGTCGATGAGTTTGACAGAAGCAGCAAATAAATAAGATAAATCCCTCAGATTAGGCTGCATAGTAGTTACAGTTAAGTGAGGCTAGTGAGCAGATTGTGCAATTAATACAATACATAGATCAATTGAAAGCATTCCAAACTCAAAGTCTGTTCCATAAGCTCATAGAAAGTGAACCTTCTAAAACATTGCAATTCTTCGCAACAATTGATTTGACTGGTGATTATTTTGTCACAAAAAGAACAGCAGGAAGGAATGCCTGCTTAAAATACACTTACTTTACTAGTATTTGTTTAAGGAAAAGCAAGAATTAATTAATAAACTTTAATTATATTCAATTGAGGGAGAAAATATGAAAAACTGTTATGAAACTGAAATAAAATGTGTGAATTTAGAAGTTTTATTACTAAATTATCCCAAGTAATATCAAATAAATATGAATCGGCTCAGGATGAAATAAAAGAACACATATTGGCCATAAATGATCTGGGATGGTCTTGTAAGTATAATGAGGAACCTTTGACTCCTTAATAAAACATTAGATTGAATATCAGCGCTCCATACCTGTTCATCGAAGACAAAATGTGAATATAATAATGTAAATAGCAATGACTCGTTATTTTCACCTACACTCTATGATAGTGCCATTACAAAGAATATAATCTTAAAAAGTAATTTATGTATTAAAAACAAAAAGTTTTTTTTAGTGTGATGACATAGGCAAAAGTTGTCTAATTCGACTGCTGATTAGTAATGATTGCATGCGTGGAGCATTCTGTAGTCATATATTGAATAAAGTTTTAGATAGTAAGTTTTTTCCTAACAGCACATTAATAATTATTGTGGCGGCGCTGTTGTCGCGCCACAAGCGAAACACATCGAAGCCTAAATCGCGCTAACAAAGTTCCGAAGTTAAATCAGTATATATAGAATAGCTCCGAACTACCAGTCGGAGTGCTGGCCGCTCCCCGGGCAGAACTCCTTGCCCGGCGGGAGATCTGCCCTTTTACTTCCACCCACCACAATTATTATTGGGAAAAGAGGCTATGTAAACAAAAATCAATTATTAAAATATATTGATTACTTAAATACTTAAAATGTACATAAAATTATCTTGTTTTGCATTGCCATTCATACAGGTTTGGTCACAGAAAAATAAAATATGATACAATCGAAACATATTAATGAATAGTTTCTGACGTAATAATAATTTAAATTTTATATTTAATTATAACATAAGGATCGTCCCCCACCCAAAATAAAGTGGCATTTGTTGCATAAGGAGGGGTATGCAAGTGAATTTAGAGAGCTAGTTGTAAACAAGATGATAGAGATGGGTGATATGGAAGAAATGAGTGTGAATGAGTGCTGGAAGGAAATAGCTGATTGTATCCGAAGTGTGGCAAGGAAGGTGTTAGGAGAAACAAAAGGGAAGCGTATGATAGATAAGGATGGGTGGTGGTGGAGTGAAAGTATTAGAGAAGTTTTGAGAGAAAAGAAAAATGCCTTTAAAGAATGGCAGAGCGTAGAAGACCAGAATGAATCCATAAAAGAAAGTAAGAGAGGGGCGTATAAAGAATGTAAGAAGAGAGCGAAGAAGGAAGTTGCTATTTGTAGGGCAGAGGCGCACGATAAATTATATCGGTCCCTTGAAAGCCCCAAAGGTCAAAAACGACTTTTTCAAATTGCAAGAGCGAGAGAAAGGAATGGAAGAGATGTTTCACATGTAAAATGTATAAAAGATGATTCTGGAAGGATTTTGACTGACGATGAAAGTATAAAGAAGCGATGGAAGGAGTATTTTGAGAAATTGATGAATGAGGAGAATGAATGGAATGGTATGCTTGAAAACCCACCAGTGAATATGGGCTTAGTGAGAGAAATTAGTGTGGAAGAAGTAAAAATGGCTGTTAGGAATATGAAGAATGGGAAGGCGGTCGGCCCAGATGGAATACCAGTAGAAGTGTGGAAGTTGCTGAGGGCGGATGGATGGAAGTGGTTGAGTTTATTTTTCGGTAAATTGTTGCAGGAAGAACAAATACCTGAGGAATGGTGCAGTAGTATACTGGTTCCCATTTTTAAAAACAAAGGAGACGTTCAAAACTGCAGCAGTTACCGGGGAATAAAGCTCATGTCACATACGATGAAAGTCTGGGAAAGAGTAATAGAGAGAAGAATGAGAGAAGAGTGTGAGATAACACAAAACCAGTTCGGATTCATGCCCGGTCGAGGTACGACAGATGCCTTTTTCGCATTACGCCAATTGTGCGAAAAGTACAAGCGCGTGCATAAAGATCTGCACATGGTTTTTGTCGACCTTGAAAAGGCGTACGATCGGGTTCCCCGTTAGGTCTTGTGGTGGGCGTTAAAGATGAAAGGTATGCCTGGGAAGTATGTGAGGTTGGTCCGTGCTATGTACAGTGCATCCCGTACATGTGTACGATCTGCCGCGGGAACTACGGGCAGTATCGATGTGGCGGTAGGGCTGCACCAAGGGTCGGCACTGAGCCCTTACCTCTTCCTACTGATTATGGAAGCTTTGACGTCGGACCTGCAGGATGAGGCACCCTGGTGCATGCTCTTTGCCGATGACATCGTGCTTGTCGGGGAAGAAGGCATCGAGGTACAGAGGAGACTGACGGGGTGGCAACGGAGGCTGGAAAGTGTTGGCCTGAAGATCAGCAGATCCAAAACCGAATATCTGTGCTGTGATTTCGGCGGTCTTTCCAGTCCTGTACCCATGTCGTTGGATGGCGCTATACTGCCTATCTGCTCAGATGTCAAGTACCTCGGTTCCCTCATTCAAGACGACGGCGGAATAGATAGAGCTGTGCAGCATAGGATTAACGCAGGGTGGATGAAATGGCGACAGGTCACAGCCACAACGTGCGATCCCCGAATGCCAATAAGGCTGAAGGGGAAAATTTACAAATCGATCATCCGACCTGTCGTCATGTATGGAAGTGAATGCTGGGCCGTCAAGAAGAAGGATGAAAATAGACTGCATGCGAATGAAATGAGAATGTTACGATGGATGTGTGGTGTGACAAGGATGGATAAGATAAGGAATGAGTATATAAGAGGAAGCCTGAAAGTAGCGCCAGTGGTAGAAAAGGTGAGAGGAAGCAGATTGGCATGGTTTGGGCATGTGATGCGGAGGAATGAAAGTCATGTCACAAAACGAGTGTTGAATATGAATGTGGAGGGACACACGGGCAGAGGAAGGCCGAATAAAAGATGGATCGATTGTGTGAAGAGTGATATGAGAATGAAAGGAGTAAGTATGGAAATGACGGCTGATAGAGAGGAATGGAACAAAAAGATTTACTGCGCCGACCCCAGATAATGGGAAATGGTTTAGAGAATGATGATGATATAACAATTTGTTTAGGCCGAATATTAACCGTTGAAACTTACATTCAAGACGCGCGCACGGCGCGTTCATTCGATGGTACCAGTCACCGCCTGGTACCCCCTCTTCCGCGAGCGGGTCTCTCGGCTCACCGCTCGGTCGCTTGACGCGTGGGCGAAGTTAGTTGGGAGTAGGTGTGAATTGGGGCTACTGCGTCACTTTGCTCTCGCATTCGCTCGAGCAACATGCCGCTGAAATCCCCAATTCTCTCCAGTAGAGGTACAACATTTTTAGTTTAACAAAATTAACGTCTACATACTTACAGTTCTATCATCCGGGAACAAGTGTACTTCCACTTCCAGTTGAGTTATTGATCATTATATTCAGACCGTTTGCGAGATACTGATGGTATTGCCGCATCTATATAATTAATTTCTAATAATACAACTTTTTTAGCCTAATTTCATTGTGGTTAGTGCTAATAAACGTTTTTAAGCTTTTGCATAGCTTTTATCGAGGGCTTTGAGCGCGGCGACCGAATCAAGAAATTCCGTAACGAAAAAAAAAACCAAAGACCCAAAACCTACCATCGTAAATCCATTACAATAAAGATATTAATTAATTTGCATCCATCCGCTAACTAAATAAAAATGATGTGTCTTACCTGGATTGAAGAGCGTCTCCCACCCTCCCTCAATTGTTTCATTATTGTTTTATTCTCATAGCGAGTGCACGTTGATTACAACACTCGTCAAATATCATCTATATTAGTGAGTTTAATCATTTTTTTTACTATTTAGAAATTCAGCCGCCATTACCTTTTTTTTGACTTCATACTTTTTTTTCGTTAATTGCAGATCATGGTCAACACTGAGGAACACAATGATTCTAATCCTATCACTAATCCTATTACTATGCACAGGATGTGGATAAATTTACACTAAATTATTACAACCAAAAGGAGCAGCTTCACGATTTACCAACAAATAGAATAGCTATTAATGAAGAGCGGCAATCGAAATCAAAGAAATGTTACAGGAAAAGAAACCGCATCTCATCATCATCATCATCATACATTATCCGCCGAGATAAAGATAAACGAGGTAATCATCTGATTAAAAACAGCATTTGCAAACTTATCGAGCAAGAAGAAAATGTCATCCGCGATCTTAGTGCTAATATAAGTGTTCAATATGTTGTGGATTCAATGTACGATGAATGGTTAGATGCTACAAATTGTCTTATAAAAAAAAATAGGTGAAAAATTATGTGAGAAATAGTAATTTAAGTAATATAGCTTGTAAAATATAATAAAAGTTATACATTGAATTTTATAGTTGTTTTATCATTTTTTTTTATAAGATAAGGGTGACAAACGAGCACACAGTCCACCTGATGGTAAGTGGTTGCTGCGGCCCATAGACATCTACATCTATCCTCGTTTGCGAATCAAAATGCAGATGCGTTGCCACCCGTGAGGACTAAGATGGAATGCCTCATTTCCAGTAAAAAGGGCCTCCGGGCACCTGCACTCACCAAGCGAAACGCAGAGGTAAAACTCTACTTCACGCTGGTATTCTGTGAGGTCGGGGTACCACCCCGGTTCGAGCCGGCCCATCCGTGCGGCAGCAAAAGCTGCCGCGTGGCTCTACCACTGTTAAAATTCATGTATCATTATTATTCAATTGTGTAGAGGAAAATAGAAAATACATTTATTGTTACAACGAATGTATTTATTAAAACTAATTATTTCGATTTTCGATTTTATCTGAATTTGAATTTAAATGTTTTAGTTTTTATTTCAATTTTAACTGAAAGCAACAATGCATAGATATATTTTATTGGAAATCAAACAATCATTTTGTTTTCAAAACACCACTTCTTAATACATAAAACATTTTTTAACGCCCATATTTTCTTACGAGTAAAACAGTTATACAGTAAAGTATCTTTACAATAAAGTTCACAAAGAGTATTTAAATTGGGAGCTCCTAAGCAACTTATATCTATGATAGTATTATTTTCATCACAAATATCTTGCACCCATTTAATTTTTTCACATCCTTTTAAAAAATCTTTTTATTTTTCAAATATGTTTTTATAATTCCGTGAAACTCTCTATAATCAATAAAGCCCTCACTCCATCGATACCTTCGGTGCTTTTCAATCCAGCCAATTTGTTTTTTCTCTTCAGGAGATAGTGAAGTGAATGGGTGAGGAGGTTTAATTAGGAATATATTGGTGTACTCTAGAGTGGCTATAGCAAACACCTTTACTATAAATTTATTTTCGCTATTTTTGTAGCATTGAAGATCGACGATTATTGTATTGCTATTCATGATATTTTCTTAACGATATTACTCAGTGGTTTGTATTCGAATATATAGTCGTTTAATATCAAGCAATAAGCGGCTGATATAGTTCATATTTAGAATTTCTTTATTTTATTATATTATTTACGGTTTATTATTTCGATTTTCGATTTTATCTGAATTTGAATTATAATGTTTTTAGTTTTATTTCGATTTTAACTGAAAGCAATAACACATAGATAAGTAACACTGAATAAACTATTAAACTTAGTTTATTATAATAAAATATAGTTCAGATTTAGAATTTCTTTATTTTATTATTTTATTTATGGTTTATTATTTCGATTTTCGATTTTAGCTGAACTTGAATTTAAATGTTTTAGTTTTTATTTCAATTTTAACTGAAAGCAACAACACACAGATAAGTAACACTGATTAAACTATTAAACTAACCCTTAGTTTGATACAAAACTGGACGAACGTTGTGATAATCTTCTTTGATGCATGATACCAACTGGTTAACAGCCCTCCACGTTGGGGTTTTCTCACAGTCCGCTGATTTAAAGCTGATCAGAGAGTGCTGCCAGTGGGTCGGTTGATAGAATAGCCTCCAGCTCGCGGTAGTTAGAGATGCACACTTCGATGTAGTATTCTCCTCGCTTCGAAGGCACACTCCGGTGCATATAACGCGAACCTGTTCGGAATGCTAAGTAGCTTTTTAAAATCCTCGCTCGGATAGGTTCAGAATCTTCATCCTGGAAACAATAAAAATACTATTTAAACAAAAGCATACTGATAAACAATGAACAATATTTATATTCCCTCCTACCCCGCATAAATATATTTTTATACGATGCTCATAACATGACTTAGTAGTCCAATTCTCTAACAATTGTATCAATCACATCGATCGTCTAAGAATATAATTAAATACGATTTCAAAAAAAAATTAACTTATGACTGATAATTTATTCACAACATCCAATCAAATAGAAACTGACTTTTCATCATGTGAATGGTAACTCAAACTATTAAAATTAAATAAGATTTGTTTACCTCAGAATCTGGAAAAACTTTTAATTTACGTTTCCTGCAGGTCGAAGCTGGGGTGAGTGATGATGATTTATCAGCCTCAGATTCCGACTCGCTTCCTACACTAACTAGGGAGACTAAGTGTTACGTACATACTTGCTGTCTTGATGATGATGATGCTGAACACTTCCAGGTCTAGTTGACTGTGGAAAACATGATGTAATTAATGGTTAAACACCTCCCAATATTATATTTTATACCCTACATTATTGCGCTATCCCCACTTGGAAGTGTTTTAGTTTGACATATAATAAAATGAAGAAATATTTCATTTGGTAACTTTAGCATTGACCCGTATTAATGTTATTTGTAAGGAATATTTTTACTTATTAACATTAAATGCTCATATGTGAAAAACACTGAACATAAATGTTTGCATGCGATGTCAAATCAACATTGCTTTGTCAGCCGAAAACGCTATTGGAGCCAGCCAGACGCTTTAATGGGTTATGACAGTGTTTTACAGGTAAACGTGTGATTTCACAATAATATGGAAATGGGTCAGCATATAGTGGTCAATGTACTTATTAAATTTAGATCCATCATAAATATATCTTTGTTTAAAATTAGTGCTTTTTGAAGAAAAAAAAACTAACAATTTTCAATCTTAAACTGAATTTTATACTATTCGTAATATCTTTAGATAGAATATAGTCTGGAATAATACCCAGGCGTTTGTTGTAAAAGCGTATATATTGCCTACCCATAAATTAATTACTAATTCTAAAAGTCTAAAAACTGGTATCACAAGCTTATGTTTGTTCCTAATGTTTAAAAATGAACATATTTTTTTTCTTATGAAAGCTATTTATGTTTTTATGTACATACATTACATTTTCATAAATATATTTCGATGCTAAGTTAATATGTTTATTTCCTTAAAATTTGTCTCTAAGAGACTCTTACAATTTAACTTATAAATCATCAGTGAGTGTAGAGAACCGGAGACCCATTTTACTGTAAAAGAGGCATTCCATCTTATACCTCACGGGTGACAACTCATCTGCATTTTGATTCGCTACGAAGATAGATGTAGATGTCTATGGGCCACAGCAACCAATTACCATCAGGTAGACTGCGCGCTCGTTTGTCACCCTTATTCTAAAAAAAAAACAAATTAATAACATAAACATAAAAGGGTATGTTAGATGTTTTTTTTTTTATGTTTGTTACTCAATCATAATAGATTGCCTGAACCGCTAATGCTCGCTAGTTACACATAGAAAAAAAGAACAAAAAAAAAAGGTCTCCAACAGTATATACGAATGTTTTCATGTGTTCAGGCACCCAAATTTTTATACTGGATGGGAATCGAACCACAGCCATCAGGCTTTGTAGCTCACTCGTATTAAAAACCACTAGATCATTTGCGATCACCCACCATTGGTTAAATAAATTGATTTAATATAGAAACTTGCAAGCATGTAGGTACTAATTTGGTTAGACTAAAAAAAGTTTGGACCTATACTTGAGAGAATTATGGTCTTCAGTAGGCACATTGCTTGAGCGAAGCAAGAGTGAGTGAATTCTTTTACATGGTAGAGCCATGCTGCAGCTATATTAGTAGTATAGTTGTAGCACGAATGGGTC